TTTCTCCTTCTTTTAGAGGGCTGAATAAATGGGAAGAGAGAGAAAGAATGCAAAATAATTTAAAATTCTCTCCTGGAGAGTGGAAATGTAACCCTCTGGTCTCTAGGAGGCAACTGGGCTTTGCATAAAACACACAGCACTTGACTGATAGAGGAGAAATGTACAGGAAAGAGACAAAAGATGAAGACAAGTTAAGGGAGAGAAATATTTAAAGCTATCAAATACTTCTTTGATCAAGGAAAATGCTAAAGATTTAACTTTGTAGTGTTTTTAAATTTTCTTCATTTTGTGGGTTAAAGACAACACCCTACAAATGAAAAAATATAGAATTTACTACAATTTGAAGGCTTCTACTTAATACTTTTTCAGAGTTATTTCCTGAAATCAACTGAGGATTTCTCAGAAAATCATATAAATTAAGCCCAGAAATGAATTGAGAAGGTAGGTATTCTTTCTTGCACAAAATGCTAAGATAGAATCAAGATGCTGGCAAACTTTTGTATTCATTATTTTATTCCAAGATGAACCGAACTGTCATCCAGCAAGCATTCTGATTATTTTTTTTTCATTAGAAATGCTTTGGATTATTCCTAATCCCGAAGGATCATTTCCTTCTCCCAAACAGAAGGGAGTTAAATTGTAAACTGCATAATCTACCATTACATTTTCATCTGCCTTTGATTGGCTCTAGGTGTGTGAAGGTTATATACTTCTGCTCTAAGTAAAAAATACCCTCCAAAAATATGTTTTATTTTACAAAGCATATAGGGAGGTGTGGTATGGTTTCTAAGTTTGGATTGATCTCTACAGGTACTGTGAGACTGTAAGAAAATAACTGCTCTGAGCCTGTTTTATATCTATAAAATGAAAGTAATAACAGTATTTATCTCATAGGGATTGCTAAGGTTTGAATGTCTCTTCTTCAAAATTCATGTTGAAATTTAATCCCTGTTGTGCTAGTACTAAGTACTAAGAGATGAGCTTCTGGGGAAGCGATTAAGTCATGCAGGTTTTACCCTCACAAATGGATCAGCACCTTTCCAAAGGGCAGAAAGGAACTAGCCAGCAGAGGCCCTCTTACCCATCTACCTTCTGCTATGTGAGGACACACCAACATTGTTCCCACTAACTGCCAAGGGCAAGCACCTCAACCTTGGACTTTCTAGGCTCCACAACTGAAAGAAATAAATTTCTATTATTTATAAATTAGCTGTGTGTGGTGTTTTGTTGTGGCAACACAAATGGATGAACAGAGAATATTATGATAACGCAACAAGAAGACCCTTGTAAGGAATTTGGCAAGGTCTGGCCCATAACAAGCAATAGACACACTCAAACTACCTTTCACAAATACTTTTTTCTATTGAAAATACTTTGAGACAGAAAATAAATATATTTTTGAGTGCAGCATGCAAGTTTGCAGGCTGAAGAGGAGGAAATAAGTATTTTTTTATGGACATTGTTCTTTAGGCAAAATGTAAAAGGATGTAGGATACAAGCTTTTAAAGAACAAGGATTATGGATTGTCAATTACGAGACGCCAGCATCTGTCCACAGCACTTGACGCATACGAGACACTCGTTTAATATTTGCAAAATTCATTCATGAGTGAATGGGCCATGGTATAAAAATCCAGGCAACCTGCTTTGACTTCCAGAGGAAAGAGCGCTCCCGTGGGCTGTAAATCCGGCTGTCTAGGCGCTGAAGATCGGTCACTGTCCACGGTTCTGAACTCCTGGAAGATGGACCTGTTGAGATCCCGCAAAATGCTTTGTCCTCCCCTCCCTCACAAATCCCTTCCATGCAGTCTACTTTCAAAGCCCGGAGGCAAACCCTCCCCGTATGTATCTCAAATGGGCTAATTCTCACTATCTCAGAGTCTTCTAATGTTCTCAGGTCTCAGTACCTTCCCTGCTGAGCCTCGAAGCGCTCCATATAAGAACCCTGGGTTTATTGCATCTGGGCCTAGGTTTTTAATGTGCTGACCACCTGGAGTCCTTGGCAATCACTCACAGAGCGGATCCCTGGGCCACACCTCCTTCTTAAAGAGTAGGCGAGACCGCCAGCCGTTCGTGTTTAGAATCCCCGGAGGCAGCAGGACTCCGCGCTCAGACTCGCGCAGCCAGCCCAGCCCTGGCAGCTCCCAGAACCGCCCTCTGCTCTCCTCCCCCTCTCTGCTCTCCCCCTCTCCCGCCACTCAGCAAAAAGACGCCTGGACTCCTGGGCGGGGAGCTCTGTGGTCTACCTCCTTTGCTTCCCATGCCGCACCCTCCGGTGCTACACAGCCTGGGTCCTGGGTTCGCTAGGGGAAGACTAAGCGGACTGACTGTGCCGGTGAACCGTGTCCTTCGTCTGCCTCCTTCCTCCACTTACCCACCCTCTGTGCGGTTATTAGACAGAGGCCCACGCTGAGATGGCTTCTAAAGATCAAAACATTCAAAAGTGACAAAAAATTTTAAAAATAAAAACCACTGCGGTTCATGTGTGTTTGTTTGGTGTGTGTGTGTGTGTGTGTGTGTGTGTCCATCCGCGCTTGTGCAAAATCTCCCGCACCACAGTTCCGAATCGGGACAAGGGCTTGGAGAAATCCGAGATCTTTCCAGGGATTCCCCTTACTCTACCCTCCTCTTCTGCAGCACCCCCGAAGAGGTAGGTCTGGGGCTTTTGGCAAAGCCCTGCAGCAGTTTTAGACGCACACCGAGCTGGATCTGCTGCAATCTTTCCTCCTCCCCCTGTACTCCTCGCCCTCCTAAGCGAACGGTCCCGAGCGCAGGGTTTCCTTCCATTTCCTCGCATCCACACTGCAGCCGGGTCCAAGTCCTCCCCTGGCTTCGGACTGTCCGCCTCACCGCGAGACCTTCCGCGGATTCACGGGCTCCCGCGCGGCCCGGGCGGTGGGTGGTGCTCGCGCCGCCCCCATCTTCCCCCGGGGCGGTGGAGAGCAGCGCGCCGGGCTGGTGCGCGCGCGGGCTTGGTGGGGAAATCGCCTTCCCTGGAAGCAGCTGAGTGTCTCTGGCAGAGTATCCTGAACACCAGCGAAAGCTCCAAAGCACTAGAACCTCCCTAAAGAAAAATAGTACGCGGGGTGGAAAAAAAGAGGCAAAAAATCAAGAAGGGAAACCCGTTCCCCGAAGGCCCGGGTTTCCTGCAGTCTCGGATCCTCCCGGAACTGGATAGAAGCGCAGTTGGCAGCTGCCGGCCCTGAACTTAGAAAGACGTTTTCCCCGCCTTTGGGGAGGGGGCCGGTGAGGGACTAGCCGGCAAGAGTTGCAACTGGTCTGAGAACCTGCAGAGAGAACTCTAGGGTAAGTAGTGTTCCTGCTCTGGAGCACAAACGGGGGAAGGAGGGAAGGGAGCAGGAGAAGGGAGGAAGGGAGAGGACAGGGAATGAAGTATGCAAAAAAAAAAAAAATCCCCAGTATTCCGCAGCGGAGGGAGAACCCAGCACAGCACTGCGGGATGAGTCCCGCCTGGGTCTCCCGCGCGGAGCAGGCAGGCGCGAAGTTCTTTCTAAGGCGCAGAGAAACTCAGAGACCCTGCAGGGCAGCGCAGGCGGCCGGGCGGGGCGCAGAGCTCCGCGGCCCCCGGGGGATGGAGCCGAGGCGGCGGGAGTGGTGGCCTGAAGCGCAGACGCCCAGCCGTCTCCTCCTTCTTATGGCGGGGTTCAGCCTCTGCTCTCCACCCCGGACTGCTGCCTCCGCCCCCGGGCGCCCGGAGGCCGGGCTGACGTTGGGACTCCGGGCGGCGGCGAGGACGCTCACCTGGCCTAGACCCCTTCTCCTCCTCCTCCCCTTCCTCCCCCTTCTCCTCCTGCTCCCCATCCTCCTTCTCCGCCACCTTCTCCTCCTCCTCCACCTCCTCTGCCCCCTCCTCCCCCCGCCCCACCTGCCCTCCTTCTCCTCTCGGCACCGGGAAGCGTCGGGATCCGTAGGCGAGGAAATAACGACCCCTGCAGTTGCATTGCGGAAAATCTCGGCGGCGGCGGCGGCGCTAGTTGCGGGCGATGGAAGAGAGGCAACTGGGGGTTCTAGGGAGCCCAGGAAAATAGCGGAGGTGCAGAAAAGCGCGCGCAAGACGTGGGGAACCCACTGGGCCCGCAGCGCGCCCCAGCCCCAGGCGCCGGCGGTTGCGCTCGGCGTCCGGGACGCGCGGCCCGAACCCGGC